ATAAAAAAACTTCTCGGTATTCACGTAACTGATTTTAATGTAGATCAATTAGCTGCTCAATTAATAATGCTTCCTAATATTTTAAATTCTGATAATCCCTCAGCAACAATAAAAGATATTGTTGAAATATTTAAAATRTTGCCAGAAACTTCTCGTCAATTGATGAACCAAGTTGAACGGCTTATTATACTGTTATACACAATACCTGCAGCATYAGCCACACCAGAAAGGTMATTTAGTGGGCTCAGGCGTTTAAAAACCTATACACGTTCAACTATGAGTCAAAAGCGGTTGACTCATTTGTTACTACTACACTTAAACCAAACTATTTTGTATGAGATTTCCTTGGATGATATCCTAAAAGAGTTCATTAGCCGTACAGCAGAGAGAAAAAGTGTATYTGGTAAAATGTAAATTATTCATTAAAATTTGAACTGTATATTATATTTATTRATATTGTATAATAAAATATAGTTATGGGATTTTTGATTAAAGATTGTACAACAAARAAACTGTGTATGTGAAAAAGTTAATTATAACTGTAATTTGTATTGTTAATAAATTTTTATACCTACATGATTTGAATTTGTTTAATAAATATTTGTAAGAAAAAAATTTAATTATACCTTTTTTCCCAGCATAGGTGCTGTAAAAATTGGGGAGGGGTGGAGAGTAAGCACCAAAAATTAAACACCACTATTTTTGCTCCTATGCCCTCTAGAATAAAGCTTGAAATATTTTGCCCCCACAGCAAAAAAATCGTTCCGGCGCCCCTGATTTTCATTCCATAAAGTCAATGTAATCTAGAACATGAGGATTATTAATATTTATAGTGATTTTTTATTCTGATATACACTTGCCTCATCACTGTTATCAATTAGTTTTATCTCTCTTTTTTTAAATTCCCTTCCATCTTTTGCAAATACTGTATCAGTGACTCCGATATATTCGATAACTGCAATGACATCTTAAAGAATTATGTTTAAATTTTTTAAATTTTTTTTCTATTATTTCAGCGTTTATAATTTTTCTTATTCTTAATTATGATTGTTTGATTTACCAGATTTAAAATCTTTTCAATTTTTGTATACATTGTTTCATCTAATTCAGTGTCTTGATTTTGTTCTTGACACTCTTCTCTTATTCTGAAATAATCATTCATTAATTTTTTCTTTATTTATTCATATCATTAAATAGATTTATATATATACTTTGTCGCTTCGGGAACGCTTGKATTTATCGGTATTCTAGATGAATTGATTAAAGATAAATTTTTAATGTGATTATACACTCCAATTTATTTATCTCCATTTTATTATTTTACTGTTTACATGTTTGAGTACTTGAGAATCTTACCTAAATTAATGTGTTTTTTTCTTTATTATACAGTGTGATCACGATAAGTGGAAACACTCAATAASTATGTGCAGGCTTCATATATTTCAATTCTGCTTTTTCGRCYAACWAATAAACATTATTATWBACATTTTCAAATAATTAGACTATTTTTTTGACACTTAACTTTGAGCATGCGCACAATAACTTTTTTTTTTAAATGGCATGATCCATTTTTGACCA